CTCTCTCTCTCTCTCTCTCTCGCCGGGTCAAGGCTCGTGGTGACAGCGGAAGTTGAGCTGTCGGCAGCGGCGGAAGCTCCTAGAACTCTCACCCCAAGAGCCGTCTCTACCCCGCGATGGCAAGTTCTCTAAGCCAGGAAGCTCTTGCGTGGGCCCCTGAGCCAGGCGAAAGGCCTGGAAGCGCCCGGTGTAACCTTCGGAGACCGCTTCCTTGAGCCTCCCGGACTTGGGTTCAGAAGTCCTTACTGGATTGGTTCTCTGCCTTGTAAACGTGCAGGGCCCGCACTCCCGGCAGCTCCCGCTTTGCAATAGGCCAAGGACCAGAGGGGTTGGCTCAAGGTGTAGCTTTTGTTGAGCCTAAGCTGCAGATCGACGAAAGTTGCATCACGTGAATTCAGAGAGGCCCAAATCCTGCAAATCCGCACCTATTTCCCTGTACCGTCCGGGATGTGTGTGTGTGTGTGTGAGAGAGAGAAGCTGGCATGTCTGACTAGCAACGGAGCCTCGCACAACGATGTTTCAGTTCCGAGGCTTGGCCAGTGGCGTTTGTGGGCTGAAGGCCAACGGCTTATCTTATCCCACCAAGCGGGGACCAGCGTCGATTGGATTGCTTGCAGAGAAGTCAACTCAAACAAGACACCGTGTTCGTACTGTCCACTCATCATGACCGCAGCCTGTCTTGTGAGCCGGCGACAAGGCGCACCTACAGCAGTGCAGGGCCGCAGCAAACAATCATTTATTGCAGCCGTCCTACTATGGGCTCTACCCGTTGTGAAAAAGGTGTCTATCTGCCTGTCCTCGGTCATACCCAAATTCCGGACAGTAGAAGGTCCTTCGAAGAAGAGGCAATTGTAGCGTCCTGCCCAGAGATTTTGAAGGGGATTGTGTATTTGTGATGCTCGTGGTCCTTCCTGGGTTTCCTCAACCCCCTCCTAAACCCGAAACCCCAACCCCCCAAAAAGGCCGATTCTTCTTGAACGCCGATGGAACGCCCTGAAAGTTAATGTTTGTGCTAAGGTCAAAGTTTACCAGTCTGATGGCTCCAGCGCTGGACGCCGCTGCTGCAATGCTTCAGGTCTTCAGGGGGTGTCCAAAAACTTCAGTCTTCCAGGCCGTCGCAAGTCGAGGCAGGTGTAGCTTCGACCTGTTGGGGGAGGGCATCAAAGCTGCTGCTACCTCCTCTAAAGAGTCTTTGGAGTCGAAACGACACCCAACTTGTGCTCGTCGTGCAGCAGTAGAATAGCAGAAGACACCGTGTGTGCAGGGGTGAGCCCCACCTAACCTCTGCGCCGAAGTGTGCGTCCCCGAAGCGGCCCTAAACCCAAGTAAGACCTGACTTTCTTTCGGTTGCATCGCGGGGCCCTTGGCCCAAGGAAGTCCCGGCGCCTTGGCGGCCACTGCCTTCGCCCGCCCGGCGTCCAAAATGGGAGGAGTGGCCTTTGGCGACCGCTTCCTGCAGGTGCGAACTTGAAGCCCTGGAGTGGTCACGTCTAAGGGCTCAGAGCTTCGGGTTTCTTGTCGTCCGGGGTGTCGGTTCTTAGGGAGTCAGGGGATTCAGATTCAGTTTAAGAGTTAGGGGCCCCTGCCTTGCCCTTACGCTGAAAGCAGCGTATAACCCTCAGCTCCAGAGGCGGAATAAGCCCTGCAAAGCCCAAAGCCGGAGCCAGCAAGCCGTTCTGATCCTTCGGCCTGGGAGATTGGCCACTTCCGCTTGGGCGACGTGGACGGTGCGCACTTCGCCATCTCTCACCCGGATGGGCTCTCGGAGGCCAGGGTTTGGATCAGGGTCTTGTGCAGGGCTCGAGGCTTGAGGTTCAGGCCCGGAATCATCTGAGCAGTTGCCCTTAAAAAAAAAGGGACTCCGGGTCCTGAGTTTCGCAAGTCCTGCGAGACCAAGAAAACCGTGGAAGCATCCCTTGATCTTTCTGGTACGACGTGGTACGAACTGCCTGCGAACTTAAAGCATGTAATCCTTAACCCAAGCCGTACATCCTAAACCCTCGACCTTTTAAGTAAAGCCTGGGCAGCAAGAGCCTGGGCTGGGGAGTACCATTGATTCAGCATGAAGATGGTCGCCTGCAGAGAAGGCCAAACCTCAAGCCTCCAGCCTCTGCAGGTCCATCACAGCATCTTGGGCTTGAGTGAGCGCCTTCTCTTTCCTTCACTGCAAGAAGTTTGAGACCACAAGGGGCACTCAGAGCCGCAATGATCGAAGCACGCCGGAGTCGTGCCTTGCAGGGTCGGGACCCAAGGCCCCTGAAACGTAAGACCGTGACTTCGCAGTGCCTTCACAACTGAATCAGGCTTTCCGCTTGAGGCGCTCAGGCAATTTGTTGGAGCGTAAGGGTTCGGAAGAGTAGACGGTTTTCGGGATTCTGTAGCTGGGCTTCGGACAGCCGTACAAAGAAGTCCTTGCAAAATCGTACTGTTGCTGCAGCTCCGAGTCCTCAAGCGGAATTGCAGAATGACCCCAGACACCACGTATAAACCCGAGGTCCAAGACCCGAAACCCTGGAAAGGGGCTAGAGCCCGAAAGCTGTACACCACTAAACCCTAGACCCGCAACCCCAAACTTAAGCCCCAGCAGGCGAAACCCCAAAACGTTCCCTTCTTGCCGAGGCGATGGGACGCTCCTCCCCTCGGGCACAAGCTCTCTGACAACCCTGGGCCGTCGCCTGGAAGAGTGCCAGCCCCTCTGAGGCTCCGAAGCTCTGAAACGAAATAGAGCCGTTCGGCTTTAGGAGCTGGGCTCTGACCATGGGCAGAATAGGGTCTTTCCTCCACACGACCGGACGTCTCGGCTGTGAAGCGGCCCTGAATGCCTGCAACTTCGCGGAGAAAGACACGACATTGCAGACTGTGGAGCTCGGGATTTGGAACTCGCAGCGGGTGCAAGTTGATGAGATGCACCAGGCTGCTCGGTTGGATCAGGTTTGGCATTCTGCAAGAGCTCGCAAAAGTCCCTGGACCCAAACCTCTGCTTCTTTTCCATGCAGCCACGACTTCACTTCAACTCCGAGGGAAGCCCATGCCCTGAACTCCCAACTGCAAACCCCCCCACCCGAAGCAGTTACGCTGAACCCTACACCTTGAATCCATAAACAGCCATCCCGAAGTCCTCAAGTCGCCGCTCGCCCTCCGCCATGCTGAGCGCTCCAATCGCGCTGCGGCCTGCGAGGCCGCAGTATACGGTCTTCCTTTTGTTGCGGGCTTACACCGGATAAGGTGTCCGTTCGAGGGCGTTCTGAGCAGTCCCCTGTCCGCTTCCTGCCTTCTTGGGCTCGCAAGCCCTGTCATCACCGAAGCAAGCCGAATCTGAGCCCGTGAAAGCTTCAGGGCAGTGTAGCCCGGCTTAGTGCTGGCTTTGTGGTTGAGGTTTCCTTTTCTATCGGGGGTGAATTCAACAAAGCGGATGCTTGAATTGCTCCACCACGACAAAAATCTCAGCACCAATCATGGCCTGCTTATCAGTCCATGGAACTCTTGAGGCCTACAATGGACCCGCTTTAGACAATCGGGGGTTGTCCTTGCAGGTCCTAGCATGCAAG